AGAGAGAGAGAGAGAGAGAGAGAGAGAGAGAGAGAGAGAGAGAGAGAATAGATAGGTATCAACAGGTAAAAAAGATAGATAAATAGAGAGAGAATAGAAATCCATAGGTGAAAAAAAAAAGATATCCACGAGTTAAAAACAGGTAGATATAGATTAAAAAATAGATAGGTATCCACAGATAAAAAAGATAGATATGTAATAGATATCCATAGTAAAAAAAGATAGCTAGAAAGATAAAGAATAGATAGAAATCCATAGTTAAAAAAAAAAGATATCCAAGGGTTAAAAACAGATAGATATAGATAGAGAATAGATAGGTATCCATAGGTTAAAAAAAAATAGAGGGGCAGCTAGGTGGCACAGTGGATAGAGCACTGGCCTTGGAGTCAGGAGGACCTTAGTTCAAATCCGACCTTAGACACATAACACTTAACTAGCTGTGTGACTTTGGGCGAGTCATTTAACCCCAATTGCCTCTCCAAAGAATAAATAAATAGATAGATAGATAGATAGATAGATATGTAAATAAATAAATGAATGAATGAATAAATAAATAAGATAGAGAATAGATATCCATATGTAAAAAATATATAGATAGACAGACAGACAGATATCAGGGTAGAAAAATAGATAATAGAGCAGTCATAAGAATTTACTACGTGCCAGACACTGTGCTAGGTATTAGGAATACAAACAGAAGCAAATCAGCGCCTCCCTCAAGGAGTTTCCATTCTAATAGGGAAAGGCATTGGGAGCGGAACCACACTGTGACAGAAGAGAAGCCTAGCACTGCTTGGTATCCCCAGCTATCTTATTTTTCTTTAGGAAAGGACCTGTACTTTGCCACAAGATGTTGGAGCAGGGACTATTTTAGGAGAGCTGATCTTAGAAGACTCATGCCTATCCACTGTAACAATGTCTCTTGACACAAATGAAAAGTTTCCTTTTTCGGTTTCCCCTCCTAGGGCTGTAGGTGATCCCAACACAAACTGATTGCTAAATACACATCACAAAACTCCAGAGTTCTTATCATGACAATCCTAGGCTGCCTGACCTAGAACTAGGGGGGAAATTAGTAAAATAAAGCCAGTATCTTACCAAAGAACTGCTGCTTTTGATTACTGAACGTCAAAAAGTGATTTTTGAAAGATCGTGGGGAATAGGAAAGAATTGTAGGACTGGAGAAGGGCAAATGGTTGGACCTGGGTTTGAATCCTCTGCTACCTCCTACTTACGTGTCCATAGGCAAGTCAATTCTCTGGACCTCAGTCTCCTCATCTGTAAAATAAAGGGGTGGGTCTAGATGAGCTCCAAGTTCCCTCCAGAATTAAATCCATAATCCTTTAATATAACACTGTTCACTAGAGCAGCTTTGGAGTGCATATCCCTGTTGGAACATATCTAAGGGGATTTGGTTACAGAATTTCCAAAGCAACCTCTCTGAAGGCTGAAGGTACCTTGAAAGTGGTACCCAATAGGGCAGCTAGGTGGTGCAGTGGATAGACCTCCGACCTTGGAGTCAGGAGGACCTGAGTTCAAATGTGGCCTGAGACACTTGGCACTTACTAGCTCTGTGACCCTGGGGAAGTCACTTAACCCCAATTGCCTTACCAAAAAAAAAAAAAAAAAAAAAAAAGGAAAAGAAAGTGGTACCCAAGGCTCCCAGTAAAGACATAGCAAGATTTTCCCACCATAACTTTCTCCTTCAGCACACTTAGCATTTCAACAATTTTTTAATGTTCTTGACATGTAATGCTGAGTATCTATGTGATAACTATTTTTTTTGTTTTATCTCCTACTAGATTAGAAACTCCTTGAGGGCAGGAACTCTATATTAGCTAATCTGTACCATTGTAGCTAATCTGCATCTCCTCAGGACTACATTGTAGTACAATGTAGTCAATGTTTGTTGAATAAATGAATGAATTTTGCCCTGTCCCTAAAAACCAAAGCTTACAACTGATTAGAAAGCACAGCTCAGAAGTGTCTGAATTACTATCTCACCCTTCATTGGGAACAATATTTCTCCATCTGGTTTCCAGGGCTTGGTAATAGAGGATTTCATTCTATTCTATTCAACAAGCATTTATTGAAAAGGTGGAAGGATCTCTGAAGCCCCTTGAGTTAGAGGGTCTAGACTCAAATCCCAGCGTGACTACTTATCCATTTAACCCTAGGCACGTGACCTCACCTTGTGAGCTTCTGCTTACTCTTCTGCAAAATGAGTACTCGGGATAAAAGAGCTCCAGTGTCCCTTCCTGTCCTACGTACTGCTACCTTTTTAGTACCCATTGTGTGCATAGCACCTAGGGACAACTAGGTCGTGCAGGACCTGGAATCAGAAAGACCTGAGCTCAAATCTGATCTCAAATACTTACTAACTGTGTGACCCTGGGCACTAAGTCACTTAACCTCTGTTTGCCTCAGTTTCCTCAACTGTAAAATGAGGAATAATAGCCCTTATCTCCCAGGGTTGTGAGAATCAAATGAGATATTTGTAAAGAGCTTAGCACAGTGGCTGGCACATAGTAAGTGTATAAAGATGTTAGCTATTTTATTTTTTTCATTATCATATAATATTTGTAAAGAGTAGCAAGCAAAAATATTTTTTGTGAGGATCAAATGAGATAATAATTGTAAAGCACTTAACATAGTGCTTGGGACGTAGTAGGCACTGTAGAAATACTTCTTCCCTTCCGCTAGGTTGTAGATGCAGAGATTAAATGAAACATGATCTCTGCCCTCAAAGAACTCACAGTCTGGTAGAGGGATACAACCTATGTACAAGTAATAATAATAAAACAAAACATTCATGAGAGGATTATATTATTACACCAGAGAGGTGCAGAGTACTGCATGAGGTGTGAGGTGAGGAGAGATTATTACTGAGAGGAGATAAGGGAAACCTTCTTAGAGGAGGTATCTGAGTTAGGATTGAAAGGATGGATAGGATTTCAAGAAAGGATAAAGATGGAAAGGAGGGCCTCCTAGGTAGAGGGAAAATATCACGAGCAAAGACAGAAATATGACAGTGCCAAGGAGTGCAGGGAATGGTTCAGTTTGACATGAGAAGAGGAGCGCATTATGAAAAAGATTAAAAAGTAAAGGCAGCACCAGATCACAGAGGGCCTTGAATGCCAGGCTAAGGAGTTTGGATTTTAAACAGTGGGCAGTTTTTATCAGAGGGACAATATACAGGTTCTGTGCACAAGGAAGATTAGTCTGGCGTCTGTGCAAAGGACAGAAACAGCTGCGAATGCTATCTGCTTTTTATCGACCTGGTTTGACCTGGAGAGGGATACAGAGAGACAGAGACAGAGAGAGAGGGTTTATTCTCAGAGAGGTTCCTCCCTTATCCCGCGTGTGTGTGTGTGTGTGTGTGTGTCTGTCTGTCTGTCTGTCAGCGTCTGTGTCCATGTGTCTGTAGTTATACAGATGTGTGCTTGAGTAAGTGTGAATGTGAACAAAAATTGCTTCTGGAGCCTGTCCCCCTCTGTCTGCCCTCCAGGTTATACCTCGCTGCAGGATGAGCTGCTCTCCCCGGCTTCCCTGCACTACACGCTGCCCTCTCCCTTGTGTGTAGATCAATATTGGAACGAGGTGGGCATCATTGACGCCATCCCCATGGCCCCCACGGAGCACGATGCCCTGATGGAAATGTCGGACATGCAGGTGTGGTCCTCAGGCCTCACCCCTTCCCTGGTCACCGCCGAAGACTCCTCTTTGGAGTGTAGCAAGGCAGAGGACTCTGACGCCACCGGAGACTGGCGGCTGCCGGGGCCGCTCCTGGAAGACCCCCAGGGCCCTGACCAGCTGGGCTCTCTGGAGCTCGTAGAGGACGACACAGTGGATTCAGACGCCACAAATGGCCTTATCGATTTGCTCGACCAGGAGGAAGGTCAGAGGTCAGAAGAGAAGCTGCCAGGTGGTGAGAGGCAGGATGAGTCAGCCGGCAAGGGATGGGATTCAGAGCATGAAGTGTCTCTTCTTTCAGGCCAGCAGAGAGTACAAGCTCGAATCACAGAATCCCCTACCGTGAGCCGGGTCATGGAGAAGAGCCACGACAGGTGAGTAGTATTTCTGCCACTTCAGTTGCTCTCCTGAGACAACTGGCCCCAGTGAGGGATCCATCCGGGCACTTTGAAATGAGACACTATAGGGTAATGAAGACTAGACTAGGAGTCAAAGATCTTGGGTCCTATTACCTATTAGGAACCCCAGTGGATAGAGCGCCAGACCTGGAGTTAGGAAGTTCAAATCAGACACTTCCTAGCTGTGTGACCCTAGGCAAGTCACTTAACCCTGTTTGCCTCAGTTTCCTCATCTGTAAAATGGCGATAGTAATAGTACCCACCTCCCAGAGTTGTTGTGAGGATCAAATGAGATAATAATGTAAAGTCCTTAGCTTGGTGCCTGGCACGTGGTAGGTGCTGTATAAATGTTAGCCATTATTACTATTATTACCAGCTCTCCCCCAATTTATTGTGTCAAATCCACACAATTTGGTAGATTCTGTCAGGTGACTGCTATGTGCAGAATGCCATGTTCTAGTTGCTTGGAGAGGTACACATAAGCAAGATGTCCCTGCCCTCAAGGAGCTTACAATCGAGGGATTCAGGGAGAGAAAAATAACTAGATAACTATATTACAATGTGATCAGCATGTAGGATGGAATGAGAAAATGAGAAAACCAGTTCACATAACTGAAAAAAAGTCTTAATTTAATGTAGTACAAGGACTTAACCTAGAGAATACTGAAGTTCTAGTCATGGAAAATTCTTCTGGCAACTACTTGATATAAGGGAATTAGTTGTAATAACTTCTGCCCCAAGATATTTTTATGGAAATGATGAAAACTATAAATTCTGTCCTACCTAAAGTCACCTTGGTCGTTGAATCTGCAGCTTTTATGACTGTTGATTTCCACTGGAATTAATAGAAATTAGGGGCTGTAAAATTGTACCTTGCCCAGCTGCTGAATGAAGAAAACCAAAAAGGGAAAAAAAAGTGCATTGGGGAATTTATTCTCGTTTCTATGCAGATGACTCCCAGGTCTATATATCTAGTCCTGATCTCTCCCCTGAATTCCAGTCTCATATCCTCAACTGCGATTGAACCTTGAGGGAGCTAGGTTGCCTAATGGTTAGAGCTCTGGGCCTGAAGTCAGGAAGATCTGAGTTCAAATCAGTTTCAGATGCTTCCTGGCTATGTGACCTGGGGCAAGTCACTTAACTTCCATTTGCCTCTGTTTCCTCATCTGTAAATTGGGATAATCATAGCACCCATCTCCCAGGCTTGTGAGGGTCAAATGAGAGGATATTTGTAAAGTGCTTAACACGACGTCTGGCATGTGGGCACCTTTTGCTGTTCAGTGGTGTCCAACTTTTCATGACCCGTTTGGAGCTTTCTTGGCAAAGATACTCGAGTGGTTTGCCATTTCCTTCTCCAGCTCATTCTGCAGGTGAGGAAATTTTAATGATACAGCATTTTAATGTGTGCTTACTTCTCTCCTTCCTCATGCTAGATTCAGAGTCAGAGGATCTTTATCACAATTCCAACTCTGATACTTACCACCTATGTGACCTCAAGCATGTCTTTGCTTCTCTGGGCCTCAGTTTCCTCAGCAGTAAATTAATAGTAATAACAATAATAACATATAACATGTGCTACACTTTTTACAATTACTGTCTCATTTGCTCCTCACTAGGAGGAAGGTGCTATTATTAGCATTGTAGAATCAGAGAGTTGGACCAGATGATCTCTAAGGTCCTTTCCAACTCTGTCACTTTGATGGTTTGATCCTATGGTTTCCTACTAGATGATCAGAGACATCTCAACCCGAATGTCCTACAGGTCCTATTCCTAATGTTCCTACTCCTGTCAAGGGCTCCATCATTCTTCCAGTCGTCCCAAATCCCAGTCTCAGTCGTTCTCTACCTTTCCCGTTCCCCTTACCCTCTCCCAATATCCAATCAGTTGCTAAGTCTTGGTAGTACTGCCATATCTGTCCCCTTATCGTCCCTCTCATGGCTACCACCCTATTTTAGGACCTCTTTACCTCTCGACTAATCTATTGCCAGAACTCTTATTTGGATTCCTTGCCTCCTCCTTCTTAATTCATCCTGCACCCAGTTGTTGGATTGATGGTTCTAAAACTGCCCCTTCTCCATTCTTGGAATGCACTTCCTCCTTTCCTCTGCTCCTTAGAATGCCTGGCTTCAGGGCAGCAAGGTGGCTCAGTGGATAGAGTGCCAGCCCTGGAGTCAGGAGCACTAGACGAATACTAGTTATTATTATTATTATTATTTCAAGGCAGCTAGGTGGTGCAGTGGATAGAGTGCTGGGTTTGGAGTCAAAAAGATCTGTGTTTAAATATGGCCTTAGACCCTTACTAACTGTGTGACCCTGGGCAAGACATGAAAACTTATTTGCCTCAGTTTCCTCAACTGTAAAATGAGCTGGATAAGGAAATGGCAAACCACTCCAGTATCTTTGCCAAGAAAACCCCAAATGTGGTCGCAGACAGTCGAACATGACTGAAACAACTGAACAACATGTACCAGGCACTTTGCTAAGAACTTTACGAATATCGTCTCATTTAATCCACACAATGACCCTATAAGATAGGTGCTATTATTATCCCCATTTTACAGGTGTGGAAACTGAGGCATACAGAGGTTTAGTGACTGGTCCAGGGTCACACAGCTAGTAAGTATCTGAAGCTGTATTTGAACTCGGGTTTTTCCTGTCTATAGGCCCAGTGCTCTGTGCACTATGGCACCACCTAGAGGCTTCTGATTCCATGTTCTAACATTCCCAGTCGCAGGCTATCTCCTAGCTGTTCAAAGAGTCAAGGAGGGCCCTAATAACTGTGGGCAGCTTAAAACAGAAAAAAACTAGGGTCATTGTCTAGCTGAGTCCCCCGCCTTCCCCACTTGGATCAAAGATCCCATCAAAGTCTTGTACACAGTAAAGGGACAAAATTTCTACAGAAAATTGGATGCAAAACTCCTGTTTAGATTTCCAAATGAGTCCCTTTGTATAATTTGACCCATACACAGCAGATATTTCTTCTTAAGGGATAAAAATAAGATGTTGGTGTCCCCCTAGGCAGTTACATGGTACAGTGCATAGCATTCTGGGCTCAGAGTCAGAAAGTCTTGAGTTCAAAAAAGGCCATAGACACTAACTGTATAACCCTGGGCAAGTCGCTTAACTGCTATCTGCCTCAGTTTCTTCAACTGTAAAATGTCGGTAATAATGATACCTACCTCCCAGGGTTGTTTTGAGGATCAAATAAAATGCCATTTATAAGACACTTGGCACAGCGTCTGGCGTCACTTAATAAAAGCGTCTTTGCTTCCTTCCCCTGAAAGGAAGAGCAGATTCACAACAGCTCATGCTCACAGACTCTCAGAACTGGAAGGAAGTTCACAGGTCTTATCTTTTAATCTCTACCCAAGTCATGAATTCCCCCCTACAACATTCCCTATTGGTTTATCTTCCATCCTCTGGTGATGGCAAAATCACTACCTGCTAACACAGTCCATCCCACTTTGGGAAACTAATTGGTAGGAAGTTTTTCCTTCTATTAAACCAAAATCTTCCTCCCTCTACTTCCTCCCACCTTTCCCCATCTTCTTTCTTAGTTTCTACTCTCCAGGGCCAAGGAGAACTAAGGTGAGCTCAGTCTCTGTTTGGTGTACTCTAGGGCTGTAGCATCCAACTCAAAGAGAAACAAGAGCCGCTGAACCATATGTAAGGATCCCTTATTGTTGTTTGGTCTTTTTCAATCACGTCTGACTCTTTGCAATCCCATTTGGGATTTTCTTGGCAGAAATACTGGAGTGGTTTGCCATTTCCTTCTCCAGCTCATTTTACAGATGAGGAAACTGAGGCAAACTGGATTAGTGACTTGCCCAGGGTCATACAGCTAGTAAATGTCTGAGGCCGGATTTGAACTCACAAAGTTGAGTCTTCCTGACTTCAGGCCCACCAATACATCCACTATGCCACCTAGATGCCCACAAGTTGCATATTCACTTGGAAACCACACATGCTTATGTATTTCTTTTTCTAAGTAATACATAGACCCAATAAAATCTGATAGGAACTACATTTAAATGTGGTTTGGGCATACTCAGGAGTGCTATGGGCCACATGTCTTTAGCACCTCGGTTCTAGGGGACCCCTAACTGTCTACTACAAAGACTATTATCAGTTGTGTGTGTGTGTGTTGGCACACATTCTCAGTCTAAGTTTGGCTAGGCCATAGAGATACTCAGTGTTTCCCACCATTTTGAATGGGGGGGGTGGAGGCAGGGAGAGTGTCTGGAGCAGGCAACCATGTGACTAGACTGCTCTTTCTCTTCCCCAACCATTGCCTGCTGGTGTGGGCTCCAGAACAAAGGACTGGGACACAGATGGCTCTTTCATCTCCTACCTGAAAGATGCTGCACAGAGCTCTTGGCAAGAGGAGGTCACAGGGAGCCCACACTCAATCCAGAGAACAGTGACCACCATCCCCTCTGTAAAAGGCCTGGAGCCCAGTGGGTCTCAGGACTATGAGAAAATCCTGACGTCCACAGTAGAGCACATGGGAGTCGACTCATTGGAACTGTCAGAGTCTGAGAGTCCCCTGACTGAGAAAGAGCAGAGACACTCGCCTGTCGTGAGTCAGAGCTACGGAAAACAGATGGAAGAAGCTGAGAGGGCCTTCACCAGGATAGTCGAGGTAAGGGCCATGAAAGCAGCCGGGCAGCTACAGCCCCTTGTGGGTGTTCTTATGGAACTCCCCAAACACAAAACCAAGCATTTCATTCATTTCACTCAATCATGCCTAGACTCGACTCAATAGGAAAGCAAAGAGATAAAATTATTCTCTACCTTTCTATTTTGTTGAAACCTACTAGGTTTAATAGGCCTAAGGCAAGAGTCGTCAGTCACCACTAAGTCACATTTGACCAGTTCCCAACATAGGTATCTCTCTTTTCTCATTATCCCTTTCTCTTTATGCGCTGTTCTCTCTCCTTCCTTACTTCTTTCCTTCCTTTCCTTTCCTTCCTTCCTTTCTTTTTTCTTTTCCTTCCTCCTTCCTTCCCTCTTCTTTCCTTCCTTTCTTCTTTCCTTCCCTCCCTCCTTTCTTCCTTCCCTCATTCTTACTCCCTTCTTCCTCTTTCCTTCTTTCTTTCTCATCTTCTTCTCTTTCTCATAGACTCAAAAATCCTAGCTAGAAGGAACCTTAGAAATCATCTGCTCCAACTGCCTGCATTTTATAGATTAAAAAGAGCCTTTTTCATCTTTCAAAGAAGTAAAGGGACTTATCCAAGATCACATAGCTGGTAATTGACTGAGATGGGATCTGAACTCAACCTTTCTGCCTCTAAACTTAATGTTATTTCTACTACACCATATTTATCTGTTCTTCTCCTTCTCTCCCCTTTCCTAACTCTTCCTTGCCTTTGGCCTATCAGTGGCCATACAGGGTTATCACTACTCAGTAGGCCCCAAAGGCGGGGTAGATTCCAAGATAATCCCAGATTCCTGGGAACCTGTCAGAAGTTAAATAGTTTTATTTAGAATGCTGTCCTGCCAAATATGTGAGTGTTGGACTGGCTGCTGGTCTCCATTTATAACACTGATCTGCCACCCTGCATTCTCCCTAATTGGGTTTCTGCTGTACTCCAAATCCTTAGCACCTCCCCCCCACCAGCCTCTCCTAGGAAGGACTAGCAAAGGAGCTTCCAGGAACAGACACAGCCCAAAATGGGCCCTGCTACCATCAGAGGACCTAGCATTCCCTAGAAGAGGGATTGTTAACCTGAGGTCTATGGATGCCTTGGGAGTATAGATTTAGATGGGGGGAAATTACATCTTTATTTTCACTAACTTTTGTTTTCCTTTGTAATTCTATGTATTTTCTTTTATGCATTTAAAAACATGATTCTGAGAAGGGATATGTAGGTTTCACCAGACTGTCCAAGGGGGTTGAGAAACATTAAGATTTAGGCCTGGAAGGGCCCTTAGAGGTCATTTAGCTCAAGGATTCTTACCTTGAGGTCCATAGATCCTCCAAGGAGCCTGCAGATAGATTCCAGGGGGTCCATGAATGTGGTTTGAGAAAAAAAATCACATCCTTATTTTCACTATTTTGCTGTTGTTCAAGCCTTTTAGTTGTATCCAACCCTTCATGACCCCATTTGGAGTTTTCTTGGCAGATACAGGATTAGTTTGCCATTTCCTTCTTAAGTTCATTTTACAGATGAGGAAACTGAGGCAAATAGGGTTAAGTGACTTGACTTACCCAGGGTCACACAGCTAGGAAGTGTCTGAGGCTGGATTTGAACGTGGGTCTTCCTGACTCCAGACCTGGCACTCCATCCACTGTGTCATGCAGCTATCCCACATAGCTAATAAGTGAACTTAATTCACAAGATTAAGAGCTGGGATTTAATAAATTCACAAAATTAAAATCAGGAAGGAACCTGAGAGAGCATCTGGTCCAACTCTCTCATTTTATAGATGAGGAAATGGAGGTTCAAAGAGGACAGATGATATTCCCAAGATCACATGGTGGCAAACAGAGGCAGGATTCAAACCCCGTTCCTCTGACTCTAGCTCCAGGCTTTTTCTTGATCCTTGACCCTGTATTCTTTCCCCTAAATGGCCTTGAAAAGATGAGCCCCTAATGTAGAACGTAGGGTTACTTGAATTAACAATAGCAGTAATTTTTTGGTTATCTGTGCACACATAACGTAACACCTGTGTGGTTATAAAGGAAGTCCATACACATCTCTGCTCTCTGATGGCTTACAGTCAGAAAGGGGATAACATGGACAAAAAATTTAAGGGCATGCAATTCAATTCAGCTAACACTGATTAAGCACCTACTATGTGCTAAGCACTGGGGGATACACAAACAAAAAATGAGGATAAAAATGAAAACAACCCCTGTCCCCAAGGACCTTAAATTCTACTGGGGGACATGTATGCAGATAATAGTCAACATTTCTATAGGTCTTTAAGGTTTGCAAAACACCTTATGAATATTGTCTCATTTGATCCTCACAAAAATCCTGAGAGGTAAGGAAGAAGGAGGAGGAGGAGGAGGGAGGAGAAGAGGAAAAGAAAGAAGATGAAGAAGAAAAGGAAAAGAAGAAGAACTAGCATTTGTATAGTGCCTCCTACTGTGTTAACCACTTTACAAATATTATCCAATTTATTCTTCACAACAACCCTGGGAGGTATTATTATCCCCATTTTATAAATGAGAAAACAGAAGTAGACAAAAGTTAAGTGTCTTTCCTAGGTCACAAATACTAAGTGTCTGGATTTAAACTCGGGTCTTTTAGACTCCAGGCCCAGCGTTTCAACGCCCCATGTGGGAGAGGGCCCTTAATGAATCAGCTTTCAATAATGCTAGAGAATCCAAGAAGCAGAGAGGAGGCGTGAGAACATTGCATGGGGCAAAGGCATGGGGGAAGGAAGTGAGATGTCAAGGACAGAGAACAGGCTGATTTCCCGTTAGACTGTAAGTTTTTGTAGGGCAGGGACTGTTTTTTGCCTCAGTGCTTGGCACATAGTAGGTGTTCAATAAATGTTTGTTGAGTGACTGATTTGACTGGAATGTAGAGGTGTTTGAGGAATAAGGAGAAATCTGGAAGAAGAAACTGGAGAATGAGGCATCAATTAAATAAATTATTTCTATAATATACAAGTGAAAGGGGGTGGGGCAGGGAATAGTGAAGCAAAACCAAGGCCCTTCTAGGTCGAGGGGAATCACCCCCTCTCCTCCACTTGGCCCAGCTGCCTGGACTAAGTTCCATAATGTGTTCACCCAACACCACTTACATAAATCACTTTCTCCCTGAGCTTATTTTTGAAAGAAACCCTGCATTTCCAGGGCCAATCCAAAGCCCTCAGCTCTGGTGGTAAGTGGGTGAGTTTCTATCACCCCAGGTCCCAGACCAGCAGCCTTAAAATGCACCAGATGCATTTCCTGACCTGATTTTCTCTCAAGTCCCTGAATTTTCCCATCAGTGAAGAGCCCCCAACAGCGGGCCCTCTCTTTGGCAGGAGGTGCCCAGGCACTCATCCAGCATAAAGAAAGACTCCTAAAAGAAAAACAACTGAGTAAGACCCTCATCTACTGATCCTAGAAGAAGAAGGAAGGGCGGAGAAGCCGGTGGTGTCACTTTCCTGGGCATAAGTGACTTTGACATGAGCGTCTAGCTCAGAGGACAGCTGCACCTGCCTGCTTCCTTCTTGCCCAAATGAACAGCCCCAGCCAGCTGGTATGCAGGGGCTAAAATTACAGGGCCATGACGTCACCCTTGGGCCCAGCCTGGGATGGCTGTGTCGGAGGGCGGATGCACAGACCCAGGGCTGCTCTGGTTGTAGGGCTCCTCCCTTCCATTGTTTTCCTGAAGCCTCGCACCCCCAAAAAAGAACTAGATGAAGTGAGCTCATGAACCCAGGGAGAGAATGCAAAGTCAGATCCCCTCTGTAGCTGGGCCATTGGCACCACTTGGCACCCCCAGGCCGGGACAGTGAAGTGGCAGCAAGGATGTGGACCTTTGTTACCCAGCTCTTGGTCACCCTGGTGCTGCTAAGCTTTTTCCTGGTCAGTTGTCAGAATGTCATGCACATCGTCCGGGGCTCTCTGTACTACATGCTGAAGCATTTACATCAGGAGCTGGACAAGGAGCTAGGGGAGGACGAGAGCCTGAGTGATGATGAGGAATCTGTCTCCACCAGGGTGGTGCGGCGTCGGGTCATTTTGAAGGTAAAGGCTAGGCGGAGGGGTAGGGAGAGCCCCTTCAGCGGGCAGGGGCCCAGAGAGGCCTCTACAGAGATTCAGGGGGAAGAGGAGAGGGGTGGATGGAAGCCTTAAGACCCCCAGGAGAGGAGGAAGAAGGACAAAGAGAGTGAGGCCCGCTCTGTGGCTCTGATTCCCCGTTGGGAGGCAGATATGTGTCCGTGATACAGTCAAGTGGCCCCAGTCCTAGGTGGTGGAGGGTGGGAGGTGGTGAGGTCAGAATGTCTGGGTGCTGGTCCCAAGCCCATCACTTATCAGCTTGGTTGGGCAAGTCACTCAACCTCATAGATTCCTACATTATTAGAATGCTAAGTCCCTTGAATACAGGGATTGTTAATTATGTGTTCTACTTTCTGTCCTCAATCTAGTGCTCTTGCCCTTTTCTGGGAGGGGAACAGACCTATAATTTCACAGAGAGAAAACTCCCCGTACCAGTGCAGCATTTGCTCCAAAATTTAGCCACCAGTTGCCTAGGGGTACTAAGAAGTTAAAACCTAGGCCAGGGTCACATAACCAGTGTGTGCCTGAGGTAGGACTGGAACCCAGGTCTTCCTAATTCCTACATTACCCCATATTGCCTCTTACCTTGCATGCAGTAGATGCTTAATTGATGTTTGTTGGATTGGTTGAATTGCAGGTAACCTAACTCAGCTAGTCCAACACCACCCCACTCCCACCACCATGATTTAGGTGGAGAAATTATTTCCTGAGCTTTGATTTCTTCATCTATAAAATGGGAATAAGAACACCTCTTCTGACTATTTCTCAGGGCTGTTGTGAGGTTCAGATGAGATAACAGATATAAAAGTACTTTGTAAAACTATAATATTGCAATGGTTTTAAACCAGGGTTCTTTAATCTCTTTTTGTGGCATAGACCCCTTTGGCAGTTTGGTCAAGCCCCTTCTCCAAATCATATTTTTAAATGTGTAAGATAAAATACACAGTTGTACAAAGGAAACAAATTCTACTGAAATACCATTATCAATTTTCTTTTTTTAATTTTTTATTCATTTAGAACCTAAATACAAAACAAGTTTTTAAAAGAACATTTCCGTGTATATAGCCCAACATAAAGAGAGGATTCAGTATAAAGTCATGAATTTATATTTCAGACTGTTTACTTTAAAAAAAAAACAACTATGTAATAAAAACTGAAGATTGTTTTCAAAACTACCCTGCTTCTCTGTGCTTCCTTCTAAGTTTTCTTTTGTTCTCTGCTGTGCACTTTTAATTTTTTTCTCCCTCTCCACCCCACCCTAGAGAAGGCTACAATTAAACTAGATATAGTCATATAAAAATGCTCTAAATCTTTATTGCTTGGAAAACTGCAAATTAAAATGTCTTTTAAAAAAAAAGTTCACAACTCTAGGTTAAGACCTTCTGCTTTAGAAGGTGTGTGATTCAGGGGCAGCTAGGTGACACAGTGGATAGAACACCTGCCCTGGAGTCAGGAGGACCTGAGTTCAAATCTGACCTCAGACACTTGACATTAGCTGTGTGACCTTGGGCAAGTCATTTAACCCCATTGCCTACAAAAAAAAGAAAAGATAAGAAGTGTGATTCAGTCAGTGTGTGTATTCCCTCCACAGATGCAGATGACACCTTCTCCTCGACACCTTAAAGAAAGTCTTCTTGGGTTGATATGGCCAAAAACACTCATGACCAGGTGGCCAATGTTCTGGTGATGAGGCTCTTGACACAGAGTTAGGTTGGTCCTTGGGCAACCAACACACAGTGCCCTTTACCAGGCCTGTTACACAAAATCTTTTCAGGGTGTTCCCACCTGTCACAGCTTCCTTTCCTTAGGCATAGCCTTCAGGAATTAGGCTTAAGAGGCATCTAGGTAGTCAGGAGGACCTGAGTTCAAATCTGACCTTGCATATTTAGTAGCTGTGTGACCCTGGGCAAGTCACTTAACCCTGAAAAGGAAGGAAGGAAGAAAGAAAAAAATGAAGGAAGGAGGAATTAGGCTTAGGTTAGTCTCTATACCAGGATGATTTTTGTGGTGTGAAACATATAAAATACTTTGGGAGGGAAGGAAGGAAGGAAAGAAGAAAGAAGGAATTAGGCTTAGGGTAGTCTCTATACCAAGATGACTTTTGTAGTGTCAAACATATAAAGTACTCTGCAAATGAGTGGTCCTGGCAGACCTGCCCAGGGCTCCCTCTGCCTCAAACCTTGTGGTCCTGCTCCATGTGGATCCCGTGCTCGGGTCAACCACCCACCATGCTCCCGTGTCCCTTCTATGATTATGGCGGCTGCTGATACTGCTGCATCTGTCACTGATCTGTTTTCTCCCCCATCTCCCTGCCCTCCTTACCTTACCACATCTGACATTTCCTCTTCTCTAACTCCAGGGGCATGAGTTTCAGGACATCCCAGGGGAACATGTGACTGAAGAGCAGTTCACTGACGAGCAAGGCAACATTGTCACAAAGAAGGTGAGTGCCCAGCTGGGTGGGGAAGGGTCCAACCAAACGGGAGCAGCGGGAACCTCTGCCCACCGAGAAGAGGAGGGGTGACATTCAATCCCACGAGCGCTTGAGGCTGCTTTTTCTTGCTCGCCCCAGGGGAGGGAGGCCACGGGAGAGGTTGAGTTCTCTGTGTCTTCTGGAAATAGTGACTGTCTTTCACAAACCAAATTTGGGACATGTGATCTCAGAGAGGAAATTCCCTTGGACAGCCCTTTTTCTTTTCTTGAAATCAAAACTGTCCCAGAATAAAAAAAAGTCCCAGGCATTCAGTCACTACAGAGATAGGGACAAGACCTGTGGTTTTATTGTTCCCTTTGACACGTGGATGAAGACACATTCTGCACCAAAGCAGGCGCCTTCCCTGCAACTCACAGACTTGGAGATGCACCTGGAGTGCTGACTAACACTGCCTAACCCATCGTGGGTTAGAGGTGGGATCTGAACCCAGGTCTTCTTGACCCCGAGGCTAGGATCTCTATCCATGACTCCCTGCTTGCTTCTTATGGTTACCATATCCCTGGCTAAACTAGATTTCATCTCTTGACAGAATTTCATAGGTTACACAGAACTTAATCCAACCCCATCATTTTATAAATAAAGAAACTGAGGCCCAGAAAAGTTAAGTGACTTAACTATAATAGGTAGCAGAGTCAAGATTCAAGCCCTGATCTTCTGTTTAGCCGTAACAACACAACAATAATAATAACTTTCATCGGATGTTCTTCCTATTACAATAGTTTACTTCAAAGGTTTTAGTGAGAAGGGTCCTTTACCCCTCCTACATTTTTTTTTCTTTTTAGGCAATTGGGGTTAAGTGACTTGCCCAGGGTTACACAGCTAGTGTCAAGTGTTTGGTCTGAGGCTGGATTTGAGCTCAGGTACTCCTGACTTCAGGGCCGGTGCTCTATCCACTGCACCACCTAGCTGCCCCACTTCCAACATTTTTGTTGCCTTATTCCTCAATGCTCTGCCTGCTTTGACCTAAAGCATTTCTTATAAGATCATAAATCCTAAGTTGGAAGGGCCCTTTAGACTTACCCCTCATTTTATGGCTGATGAACACCATCCTCCACTCCAACAAATGCCCCCATATTCCTCTGGGGTCTACCCACGCTAGCTTGTCAACGAAGACATCAGGTCAGGATGAAGAAATGGAGAGGAAAGGGAAGAAACAACATTCCCTACCTGAGAAGAGTCCTTTGTGGAGTAAGTGAAATGTAATAAGCAGAACTGGCCATAGTGCTGTGCGTGAAGGGCTCCCCTTGGCCCTGGGTCAGTCGGACAAAGGAGGAAACCCCATCTTTTCTCTCTTTCAGATCATCCGCAAAGTGGTTCAGCAGGTCAGCATATCTGGGGACACCGAGGAGCCGGAGGAGGTGAATACTGAGGGGTTTCTCCAGGAGCCCAGTGAGCTGGAAGCAGATATTGATGACTTTATAAAGCATGTCAAGGTATAAGCGGTCTCTGGCTTCTAAGGAGGCTCTTCTCACACTGGAGTCCTTGGGAAGACCTCAGCAGCTCTGTGGAGGCCAGAGCCTATCGCCACCTCTTTTTTCTGGTAGCCTGGACTCTTTTTATTTCTGGCTGTCTCTCATCTCTTCCAGCTCGGCTTGGGATTCCATTGTACCCTGTTTTCCACCCCCTTGGTCTCAGCTCCCTTGAGGCACCTCTGGAAGGAGGGAGAGCCAAGTGGCCATTCCTCCTTCTTTGAGAGCCTCGTTCTGACTGCCTGCCTTGCTGATCCCTTTTCCATCCTTTTGTCCCTGTTTTCCGTCTGTCTTTCTCTTTCCATGTGATCTGCCCTGCCTTCCTGCCTCTACTGCTGGCTCACCCTAGGCGGAGGTGAGAGGGAGTAGTACCCTGCGTTCGGAGCTGATTGAAGGGAGGAAGGGGGCTCAGATAGTGAAACGAGCAAGCCTGAAGAGGGGGAAGCAGTGATCTCCTGACCCCTCCCTATCGAACGGCCTCTTTGGAGGTAATTTCACCTTTCTTCAAATTCACTAAACTCTATGCCACTGCATGCATGCCAGGGAGGCCCCATGTTCAGTGCTGGGATGGCAGAGATGAGAAAACAACATTTATTTCTACAAACTAACTCTCTCTCTAATAGGGGCGATACAACATAGGTACAAAGAAATGCAGTACGAGAGACAGTGCAATGAGGGCAAAGGCGAGATCCATGCAAAATGCTCTAGGAAAAGATGAGGGAGGACAAGACGCTTTTAGCTGGGAGCAATCAGGGAAGACTTCATGGAGGAAGTAGTGCCTAAATGAACCCTAGAAGGAAGAGATGAGGACAGGGGGCATTCCAAACAGGCAGGGTTGCCTGCACAACTGTCCAGATGTGAGGGACGAGAGACTGAAGTCAGGGGGCACAAGAGAATCAAGTTTGGCTGGAAAACAGAGGGTATCAAAGGAAATGGTTGTCAGTAAGGTTAAAGAGGTCAATTAGAGGCAATTTGTAGAGATCTGGAATAGTATGGGAGGTCAGGAGTACAGTTTTGATCCTGCAGGCAATATGAAGACACGGAAGGTTTTTTGAGAAGTGACATAATAATAATAATAACATGTTTATATCATACTTTAAGATTTGTTAGTAGAAGGATCAGTTCACCAATTGATGCAAAAATTTTCTTTGTCCTTCTACTTATTCATAAATCCCAGTCCTTTTAGTGTTTATTAATAATGATAAGTAATTATTAATTAATCATTAATAATATAATATGATAATTATTCATTGTAATGAATAATAATTATTGATGATTATTGTCAAGATAACAATACCTTACATTTTATAGTACTGTAGGGCTTCAAATGATGTCTCCTCTGAGCCTCACAACGACCTTGTAAAATAGATATTTGCAGGTGATATTATCCCCATCTTATAGGTAGGAAAACTGAGACTCAGCAAGGTTAGGTGACCTGCCCAGAGTCACATAGCTGGGAAGCTGATAAAAGTTCTTTCCTCACAATCCTGTGAGGCAGATGGTGCAAGTCCTCTTAGAGAGGCTGGCACCTAATCAAGGTCACACATCCTGCCTCAGATGATCACTAGCTGAGTCACTTTAACCTCTCTGAGCCTTGGTTTCCTCATCTGTAAAATGGGAACAGGCAATAACAGTAGTATCTACATTGCAAGGTTGTCAAGAGGACTGAGTGAGACAATGTCTAGAAAATGCCTTTGAGTGTCAGAGCCAGGATTCAAACCCAGGTCTTGCAAACTCCAACCCCAGTGCTCGCTCCTCTACAAAATAAAGTCCTTAGATCTCAGAAAGTTTTTTCTGGCCTGGAGAGTTGGGAGGAAGAGAGAGACCAGTTGGAAGGCTAGTGCAATAGTCTAGGCAAGAGGTGATGAGGGTGATGGTGGCAGGCTTAGAAAGAAGATGCCTTGAGTGAGAGATTCTTCCTGTCATTCGAGCAAAGCACCATCATGAACACCAAACATCTACCAGGTCCTCCATCCTCTGATTGGGAACCAAATCTCCACCTTCCCCCCAAACACTCACCTTCAGCAATGCCTCTTATGGCCAATACAATGTTCTGGAAGGAAGAGAGAGTCAAGAGACCTGTATTGCAGCTCAATTCTGCCACAAACAGGACAGTCCCAGAGGCAATTTGCTTTTAAAAAACAAACAAGCAAGCAAACTTTGTGCCTCAATTTCCTCATTTGTAAAATAGTGATAATAATGCACACCCTGCTTACCTTTCATGGCTAATATGAGGACCCAAATGAAATAGCAGATAGGAAAGTCTTTCAGGAAATTGAAAACCTTAGATATAAGTAAAGTAGAATTAATATAGGAAATAATAATGCTTGAGGGGATGGAGCGGAGGAGGGCCCAGGGACAGCAATGGTAACATTGCTAAGTCCCCAGGAGGAGTCCTGAGCACCGCTGTCTTTGAATACTGAATGAAGTGTAGCTTTCAAGGAAGGAGGAAGAGTTCTGGATGGAGAAGAGCTTCGGGAAGAGTAAAGTCAGAAGATGAGGTAGTCCATTGGAAGGAGCCCTAGAGCTCCTCAGGGGGCAGACTCCTGCAAGGAGGAAGAGATTGAGTAAGATGACCTTGGGAGGTCCCCTCCAACTCTTAAGTTATCTGGGACCTAGATTCAAATCCCACCCTGATAGAGGCTGCCTATGTGAGACTGTGATCAATGACCCTTTATCTTTCTGAGCTTCTGTTGAAATCTATGAGACTGGAATGATAAATACCTATACTGGTTCCCTCACAGGATGGTGGATAGGAAAGCACTTTGTCAAATGAAAAATACCATTTTTTTTCTTTTTGATTCAGACTCATTATTTTATTGGTGTAGGCCAGAGCACTCACACTATAGAAATGCCTCCCACCAATGTAGGTGGGGAAGAGGGAAGGGAATAAGCATTTACTAAACACCTACTCTGTGCTAGGCATCGTGCTAAGCGCTCTACACATATTGCCTTAATCGATCCTCACAACAACCCTGGAGGTAGGGGCTGTACTGTTATTATGCCCATTTTACAGTTGAGCAAACTGAGACAAACAAAGTTACGTGACTTACTCAGGCTCACACAGCTAGATGGGGAGCCAGACTATAGCATACAGTCTCAGAGAGTTACCTGGACACAGCCCAAGGTGACATAGCCAGTGTGTACAATAATAGCTAGCATTTATATTGCTCTTTAAGGTTTACAAAGAGTAGTCAACATTTTTAACATTTATAAACATCTCATTTACCTTTATAAACATTATGTCACTGTAACAACCCTGGATGGTAAGTGGCATTATTATTACTACTTTATAGATGAGGAAACTGAGGCAGACAGAGGTTTAAATGGAAGCAAATAGAGGTTAAGTGACTTGCCCAGGGTCACACAGCTTATAAGTGTCTGAGGCTGACTTTGAACTCAGAGCTTCTTGACGCCAGGCCTAGCGCTCCATTCATTCTATCTACTGAGGCTGCCTAGCTACCTTGAACCCAGGCAGAACTTGAACCCAAGTTCTCCATACACTACACTACACTGTCTGTGGCATAGTTTTGTGTCTAGATTATTATCATTAACAAGAAAAGGCTTAAAGTGAGTTCTTGAGGACTTCTAAGGAGTTCTGGAACCCCAGGAATAGCTAAGCTGAGAAAGTATGAGATGAACTGCCTTACTACAACAGACCGGGAAGGTGCTTTTGTGCCGAGGCTCAGGACACACCTTCTCTGGATTCATCTTGAGTGTGTGTAGGGGATGGGGGAAAGGAAGGCATCAGTGCCAACCAGGAGCCTTTGGATGGGCTCTGCAATGGCTGGGCAAGACAGTTATGAGATGGTGCAATGGAGAGTTGGCAGGCCCCCTCTTCCCACCTCCACCCCCATGGGGCAAAGCACTGTAGACGCTGACAGTTGGCTAAGTGCTGACCGGGCTCTTCTTGTCAAGTGCAAACACTTCAGGAGAAAAGTGACTGGTGGAGCCAGTTTATAGGATAAATTTAGAGCCCAGGCAACTCAGCAGCTTAAGCAGGTCACAGAGTTAACCCCAGCCTTGCCGCAGGAGCCTGCGTCAGGGAGCTGGCTTAGCATATGGTCCCTTCTTGATTAACGGAGCTCCTCTGCGGAACCAGCAGATGCCTCTGTGCCTGGCAGGCAGCTTTGGAATCAATCTCGATTTCTTTGCAGTGCGAGTACATTTCCATGGCTGTTGGGCCTCGTGCTCCACTGACGTCCAGCTTGAATTCCCTGGGGCACCCCTGTGGCAGCTGGCAGGCAAGGGGAGAAGCAGCCCAACACCGCATGCTGGGGGTTGGGGGGAATATGTGGAGTGCACCTCATTGAGAAACAGAGTGGTATTTAAGGTCAGGGGATTGATTGTACCAGGGATTGAGAAGACCTGGGCTCAAATCCTGCCTTGGACACTTAATTGCCCAAGGGGGACCATGACAAGCGAGTTACATTACCCTCTTTTCCTCACTTAGAAATAATCCTTTATATGACTTCCGGCATTGGGGCATTTGTAAGGCCAATGCATTGTAAACCACAAAGCATTTCATAAATAAGTGATCTATTCTTCAGACAGAAGTAGTAGATGGAGTCCTGGACCTGGAGCCAGGAAGACCTGAATTCAAATCCAACCCCTGATGCCTATTAGCTAGAGGAAGAAAAGAAAAAGAAAAAGAAAAGGCGCTAACATTTCTGATTCTGAATTAACTCATCTGTAAAATGGGAATCATAATACCCATGATACCTGCCTTTTGGGGTCATGCAAGTCTCAAATGAGATCATATATGTAAAGCATTCTGCCAGCTGTAAAGCACTGTATACATTTGGGGATCCTCATTACTCTCACTACCTAGATCATAGCGACGTGGAGCTTGTAGGCAGAGTTGGGGAAAGATAACGACTGAAATGCTGATGTTTTGACAGTCAAGCTTACCATCCCAAAGGGCACACCGTGTGTGTGTGTGTGTGTGTGTGTGTGTGTGTGTGCACGCACAAACAGCCCACTGTGTCCAAGCCTCCCTGTAGGGAGCCCCCAGCCAAGGGCAAGAGAGATATCTAAATAGGCTCACAGGGATCAAGAGCTCAGAGCAGGACTCCTACATTTTTTCTATTTATCTACTCCACAAACATTAAGCATTAAACATTCATGTATGCAAGACATTCTGCTAAGTTTTACTAACAGAGCAACAACTAACTTTTCTATAGCACTTGTGAGTCCTTTGTTTTCAAAGAAGACCATATAGCATTTACTAAGTGCCAGGCACTGTGCTAAGCACTTTATAATCAATCATTATCTCATTTGATCCTCACAACAGCCCTTGGAGGTAGGCTCTGTTATTACTCCTATTTTATAGTTGAGGAAACCGAGGCAAACAGAGGTTAAGCGACTTGTCCAGGGTGACACAGCTAGTAAGTTTCTGAGGCTGGATTTGAACTCGGGTCTTCCAGATTTCAAACCCCGCGCTCTCTCCAC